AGCAGTTGGTCTGCTGCTGCCATGATCCATCTATAATTTCCTTAAAAAAATAGTTTAAAGCCTTGAAACTGTCAGTGAGGTTTCTCTCGAATCACAGATCTGTTCATGTCAGTGTATGACACCTTGTTTTATTCAGAAGAGGGCCTTTCTGTTTCATTTTTAAATTTAAAATTTGCAGCGTTGAGAGGACTTGTGTGACAGCCAGTGCTAGTTATTTTTGTTAGTAATATGAAGGATCAGGAATATTTCTAGACTTTTTCTTCCTTTTTATTTCGTTTAAAACTATTTGAATGAGGAAAGCACTTTGCCTGCTGAATTGGCAGTTCTTGTGTCCTGAATTGACTCCTCTCCTTCTCCCCTTCTGGAAGATGGGAGTGTGATGAATCTAGGAACTTAGTTTTTCAAAGATTTGGCTTCTCTTAGTCTTTATTTTCCTTGGCATAAGGAGCTTTCAGGTGAGTTCAAAATGAAGCAGAATTGTTTTCTTCTGCAGTGTAGTGGAAGTCATGGCAGGCTGCTCATGGTATTCTTGATGTCTCTGCTGATAAAATGTATCTTTTGAAAACGCTTCTCTTTGAAGCTACCCAAACTGCTTGCTTACTTAGGCAAGAAACCTGTGTAAACAGGCAAGTTGTCAAAGGTGGCGAGTTATTACATCAGTACTTCCTTGATGATGATAAACAGTGGGAAAATAGTAATGCTGAGGAAAGAAGGTCTCTTCGCGGGCTGGTCAAATCACTGACTAGTCGTAAATTCTTCTCCCACATAAAGAACACGTGGCCAAAGAGTCAGGAGACCAAGTGCTGGTTCCTGTGTTGTGGATCCTCAAACCTGATACACAGTTGAGGGCATTCCCTATCTGGCCATGTGGAAAGGGTGTCTTTTATGGATATAGTGGCTGGCTGAAACAGTGCTTAAGGTTATGGATATTGTGACCATTAAAAAGCTTTTGTTTGGAAGCATATATAAAATGTCCAGAATTCTAGTTTTACCTACTGTGATGATAATCTTTTAGAAGGAAAGGGGGAGAAAGCTAACTCTGGAAAATAGCTGCAAGTTGCTTTAAGTTAGGAATACTAGCACACTGTTCTGAGAACTGAAAATAAGACTTAAAAAACCCTGCAATTTTTTGTCAGAGCGGCTTTTTTTTTAAGTGCTTTTAAATTGAACCTTGTCAAAATGTTTATTTCTAATTACTGTGCTGTATCATTATTTTTAATACTAAAACGTTGGAAATTTGAGCCTTTTAGTATTACAAGCAGGATTAGTCTGGTGGAAGATCAGTAATCAGTTTCAGTCTTACAAACTGGAAAAATGAACATCAGTTGCCGAAGTTTATTTTTTTAGTACTTGTAATGTCAGACCGACGTTTGCCCAGTAGAGGGCAATAGGTAAGTGCCTGCACATGTGCAGTGCTTGGGAACTCCTGCTGGGATCACGTAGGTGGTTTGTGTTTAGGATGACTTTCGTTTTGTGTTTCCAGTGGTGTTGGTGGTGATGAGAACAGATTTCTGGACCCAGCTGTCCACAGAAAGCAATGCAGCACTGCTTAATTACAGTTCTCTGGACTTCTCTTCTTCCTTTCCTGGCCTCCCCAGGTTGTTTCCCTTTCAATGTAGGTGACATTACAAATGCTCAGAGATTAAACTATCTGGAGGATTATTAAAGATTTCTTGAACAACAAAGAGTTAAACAAATCCTAGACAAAGATATTTGAAATCTCTTTAAGACAAATACTGTTTGACAGACTTTCTTTAGCCTTTTCTTGTCCATAGAACTGCTAGTTTGCAACTTGAAATATACTTCTCAGATAGTGTATGGACAAAGGTGACAGCTACAACAGTCTTGTAATTATTAGTGACATGTATTATCAGGCTTTCAAGTATTAACAGCAATCTGGAGACTATGTTTTAGTCCTTATGATTTTATTTCTTACTAATCTTATGCAGTGTCTTCTCTCACAACTTTCCATGTTTCCTTTTTAGTCTGAAACTCAGAACAGCAATGCAGTGGCCGGTCAGGAGCGCACTCCAGCTGTGTCCACTAGCACATCCATGAGTCCCCGGCAGCGCCGTGCTCAGCAGCAGAGTCAGAGACGGGCTCCGTCCTCCACTGACTTTAACCGGGCACAGCAGCCGAGAGTCAACACGAACCACACTGGATCAACTGTTCTGATTGTCCTTCTGACCTTTGCGTTGGCAGCTCTTATATTTCGCAGAATATGTTTGGCTAACGAGTATATATTTGAGTTATAAGGTTGTTTGTCCTAACAACAGGGACCTGAATGCTTCATTGAACATTCTGTATTGGGTATGACATGAGAACTGTTTACAAAGGCTACTTTTTGTATTTATGCTTAAATCCTTACGAATGTTGTTAACGTACCTACAGATACATTACTTGTAAGAAAAGCAAAGTGGGACATGTGTTAATTGAGTGCCCACTAGAGAAACAGTGCAGTGGAATAGTAACATGAAGGCACGTCGGATGGGCCTAAATTTGAGTAATTTATAAACTAGAAAAAGACAATTTTTAAAAAATGGTTGATTAATTTTTTATGGAACGTAAATGCAATTAATCACCCATCTAAGTTAGTATAAGATTTTAAATTGAAGAGAGAATTATAAAATGAAACACTACTATGTGTTTGTGTCCAGTGAACTTTTTGTAACCACTTTGATTTACCATGACACATTTCTAGAGGTGGAACACATACAAATTGTGAAGCTGCTTTGTGTGTGTGGAAGGGGGAAAGGAGAAGGGGAGGAAAGAAAGGGCCAGAAAACTACTTACGTTATTTTGATTTTTATTTTTTTGGAAGAAAGATTGGATAATCTTTTGAAAGATTTGAATGTCCTCTTCTAGTATTTTCAATTGTATATCTTGTTTTTAAATTTGACAATACTACAAAACATGTCTATTCTTGCAACAGTTATAAATATGTAATATAATTATTTACCCAGAGCTATTGTCTTTTCATTATACCAGAAATATACATAATGTGTTGAACTGAATGTTTTGTATGTGGTTTTATTTACTAAAGAAAATTTAAACCTTATTATACTTAAACTCTCATATTTCAACGTGCTTAAGAGAAGTATTTATTGCAATCCTACTAGTAATAAAGTTTCAAACCACTCTTTGGATATCCTTCAAATATCACATGGCATATTATTTATTGTTTGCCTGGGTTTTGGGGTTTTTTTTGTCTGGATTTTTTTTTTGTTTTTGGGGTTTTTTTAGTTGATTTTTTTTGTTGTTGTTGTTTTGGGGTTTCTTTGGTGGTTGTTTTTTGGGTTTGTTTGTTTTTTGTTTAGGGTTTTTTTTTTGGTTGGTTGGTTGGTTGGGTTTTATTTTGTTCATTTGGAGGGGGTTAGTGGTTTGGGTTTTTTTTTTTAACCTAAAATCTATATTAGATCCAGAGACTTTCTTATTTTAAGTTTACTTAAAAAGTCACTGGTAATATTCATGAATACTGTGAAAATGGATATACAAGCAGCAGACCTATGATTTTTAAGGTTTTGAGAGGTTTTGTCTGTGACTGTTTAAATTAAAGTAGAAGAACACAATGGGTGGGATAATTTTCCTCTGGTATCATTGTTCAAATTATTGTTCAGTGTGTTTATTTCAAAGACAAGGAAATTTAGCTAGCTCTCATTTTGTTGCTGTCAGACATGATAGCACTGACTTAAGTGAGATTCTCATCCTGTTTCTCAGCAAGTATTTATCAAGCTACCTACAACTTTCTAGATTTTGTTAGTTATAGCATATATTACATTAAAGTAGCTATAAAAACTTGGAAAATAAGGAAAGCCCTTTATGTGTCTAAGGGGGATGTGGAAAATTAAAAACTCCAAAAGATGACTTCTTTTTTAGCATTTCTGTGCACTGTTGATAATCTTGTTTGCAGGTACAAAGGAACAAGGATGAAAAAATATTTTTTTTTAGAAGTTCCAACAGAAGTATGTCATTTGTTCAGCAGTTACTTACACATTCTGCCATAGAACAGTCTGATGTTGATATACTGTCTTCTTACCTAATTTTTTATTTCATTAGAAATTAAAAAAAAAAAAAACAACAGAAAACCCCAATACACAACTCCCCTTCCCCCCCACCACCACAAAAGAAAGCACCCGGCACACCAAAACACTAAAAACCCTCTCCACATCCTGTAGCCTCTAATACAGAAGTACTCTGTTTCCCAGTTGGTGCTTGAATACCCATTCACTTCAAATATTGGGCTCACAGAAGAGAGTTCTGGAAAAGGTCCGACCCACAAGACGGCATTGCTGGGGTTTGAGTTTCTCACTCCTCTGGAAGCTTTGAGTGTGTTTTTCTCTCCCTCCAGAATCACTGCTCTGCCAAGTCAATGTTTGCTCTCGTACCTGTGCCACGCACTGGCTGTTATTAACGCAGACGGACAGTCAGCATTGTCCTGCCACTGAGCTGTGAGGAAATAAGCCCCCTCAATGGTTTTTTTGTAAACAGCCTCTTCCTTGTGATTAAAGAAGTAGCTGCTTGTAACTTTAAAATTTTCATTTAAATATTCTTTGATAAGAATTCAAATGCCTGATTATGCAAAATACGCGTTTGAAAAAAAACAACAACCAAACACGTTAATGACAACTTGTTTTATGTAAAGTCGATTGCATGTATAGTTTGGGAGTTTCTGTTTTAATTTTCCTTTAAAAGTTAACAGTAAATAAAGTCAGCATTTTCAGAGGAAATAGTTCATATTCTATGTTCAACAGCTTGAAGAGCCAGACTAAATCAGAAAATAAACCCTCAACTGCTATAAACGCATCAAAATACATATATTTTACAATGAGATACATGTCTGAAATGTGGCATAGGTGTTTTCCAGTTGAAAAAGATGCCATACAAAGGATCAAAAAAACGTGGAATGCCTAATGAAAAGGGACAGCCTGGTTTTACAGTCTGGCAGGAGGATAGCACTGAGATTAGGGGATTGAGCAAAAAGCCGCATGCAGAATTGCGGGTCTTTATATAATGGCTTTAGTAAGTATCCTTTAGGACCCAGTGGAAATGTTTATGAGGTAAACTTGGTGAGTAATGGCCAATCATTAAGCGGTGATGAGGGAAAAGCTTTGAGTGCGAAGCCCCTGAAAGCCTGTCGAAAGCATCACGTCGGGAAAGCAGCGTTTCTGCCACTGATCGCTGACCAACGCGCGACACCGGAATTAGAGTTGATTCAATGTTTAAGCCCGGGGGGACTTGTACTACAGGAGGTCACTGGAGTGCAGAGTGCCCGGCACCCATTTCCAGCAAGATGCCTTATTTTGCAAAACTCCTTTTATTAATCTTCTGCTTAGTTCTTCTTGTGGAAAGCAGAAAACACAGGAGGAGGAGGTGGACAAGCCAGCTGGATGTGCAGAGGGCAAGGTAAGCGTTACTAAAACACTATATCTCTTTTCCTGGAACGTTGCAAATACATAACTATGCGGACATAAAAACCTACTCTATCAATATCTTTGTGTCTATTGTGTGTGTAAAGAGCTTTATAGATAATGTTTTTATACCAGTCTCTGGTAGTATAATCAGTTTTAACTGTAAGTGGACACTTCTAATGCTAATATTGATTAACTCTGAGCGAGGCAGGTTTTGCAGAGAAGTTGACCACTTCAGCGTGGATTGTTGTAAAATTATTCTTAGCCATATATGCAAATTACTGAGAGAATTAGAGAATTCAGAGGAGTTGCAGTTAATAGAGGTGTTCAAATGTACATACTGTTTCAAGAGCAGGTTGTTTATCTGCTTGCTAGAATGCCTGTGCTACTTACGTTCACTTGGAATTGCCTGTTATTTTCTAACAGTTTGAGATGGAGAGCATGCATTATGGTAATTAATGGTAAATTAAACCCTGGAAGTTATCCAGGGATTGTAAAATTAAAAATACATTTTAAAGAAATACATGGAATCTTTAAAAATTGTATTTTAAAGTCAAGCAAAGGCACAAGAAAGAGTTAAAGGTATTAGTAAAGTTTATTAGATTTACCATTGCTGAGATTTGTCCAGAGGTTTACATTAGAAAAGATAATCTTCCAAACCTGCCAGACAGTCCAAAGTATGTTATCCTTTTTTGTGGTTATGTCATCCAGTGGCAATTATATCTTACAAGACTATTCATTGTTTGAAGGGCTCAAAAATAAAATTGGGTTAATCCGTCTTATTAAATGGCTTCACTTGGCTGTAAACTTTCATATTTTCATTCATTTTATTGGGCTTTTTTGTTTAACACTCAACACTTATAAGGAATGTTGTTACTTGAATGTTTTGCAAATAAATGTGATGTAATTGGAAGCAAAGAATACATAATATGCTATCAGATTTACACTACTTATTGAAAAAATACAGTGGCATATGCTTTTAGTGACGTTAATGTTATAAAGCTGAAACAGCCAGGGTCTGATCCTGAAATCCTGAAGTCAACTGAAGTTTTACTACTGATTTCCACAGAATCTCAATTATTGAATGAGACCTTTCATTTAACTCTGAAAATATTTCAAAGTCTACATTCTGAGGATTGTGCAGGATTCAACAGTAGCATTTCCTTACAAACCATTTGTGTGTAGTAGAGATCATTTGCTTTGAAGTAACAAAATAGTATAAATCCTTCTTTAAATATTGCCCAAAAGTAGTGCCATTCTCTGGGTTAAAAGTTTTATACTTCAATTGAACATGGTGAAAATAATTTACTGTTTTTACAGTGCTGTTATTTTTGTGAGCTGTAATAGAGTGGCAGTCAAAGCACTGCTAAAATTATTTTTATAAATATACTCCAAAGAATAAGTGAAATATTTAGTTTTCTGTGATGTAATGGTTTTAATGAACAATTTTCCAGTCAGGTAGAACCTAAGGAACTATATATTTTATATATATATATATATAATTATATATTTTATATATACACACATACCCCCCCATACAATTCCTATGCAATGTGGTTATTTAAAAGTATATAAAAAGAATTTTTAGGGACTATCAAATGTGAATGATAATTTTAATACAGAGAATTCTGCAATGTTGTGACAAAAAGAAGTGTATGGAGCGGTGTCATTAATATTTCAAATTTCCACATACATAGAAAAAATTTAGTTGTCTCTAAACCAGCAACGAATAGCGGACTCATCTAGTAAAAGGAAACTAAAGCTAGTTCCTATGCTGGTTTCCCAATCATGTAAAAGAAATTTAAACAATGATCTTTTGAATAATTTCATCCCATTTTCTGCTTAGCATTTCTCTTGCTGACTTACCGTAAGAAATACAGTAAATTTTACAATAAACATACTAATCAAGAAAAATGTGTTCCTATATTTGGGAATCTACATTTGATAAGTTTGATATTTTGTATCCATTAAGGGGATAAATCAACATGATCAAAGATCTTTATACTGACTTCAAGAAGATAGCTTGGCTTGTGCAAGTGCAGAACACCTTCAGTTCTGTAGTTTTTTACTTGAACATTGTATAGAGTTTCACTCTGTATAGAGGTCCTCACCCCCAGAGCTCTGAGGGCTTGGGCAGCTGGTCCCACAGGTGCCAAAACAGCTGTCTGCCAAGGTTATTCAGGGAAGTGGTTGAGCCTGTGCCTTATGGGAAAGGAATATGGGAGAGTCAGGTTAGGAACCCAAATGAAGAAATTCCAAGTTAAGGGTTGCCTCTGCACCCTTAATTACTCCCCTTGGTCTATGTTAATACTGAACTGTAACGCGTTATTTTTGTTTGATGAGTTGTGCCTTGCTCAGTGTGTGGAACAGATAATCCTTGCTTAATTAGAAACTGTGTTGCATTTAATATTTTCTTCCTCCTCCGTCCCCCACCTCACTTATAACACGTCTTTTCTTCTACAAATTGAGGTATAACTTAAAGAAACAACTGTTACTGTGCATCACCGCCCTGATCATTGCCCGGTGCAGCTTCACGTTATGCTTTGGAGAGCCCAGGCTTTGCATAGAAGATTGGTCTGTGCTCATCAAGTAACAGGTCCTGGCTTTGTTCTTTGATGGCGGTTTTTCACATTTTCCAGGGTGTACAGTCTCTGCCACTTACATTGCAAAACTGAAGGATATCAGTGATTGGTATGAAGTTGAGGGCATTCTTGCTGATTTGCAAGCTGACAAATTGTGCACAAAACCAAGGGCTCATAACTAACCAAAACGTTGGTTAAAAATTTTTGCATTTCATTTTGTTTGGAAAAGTCAGGTGATAAATGAACCACGGAGCAAAGCCTTTTGTCAGAGTCCCCTGAGTGACTGCTGAGCAGGGCAGGCTGGCCCCTGCCTTGCCCGCGCACCAGGGAATAAATTTCCGGAGAGGAAGAAGAGACTGATGCTGAAAGAGACAGTGTAAGTGTGGAAAGGTGCAGGTGTATGTGTCAGGTGGTCTGTGCTGCCATGTTGCTGGCTGGGATTTGCCAGAGAGCTGGGTACACAGTCTAGGCTAATGCTTCCCGGGCACGTCCGACTTGCTATGAGTAGTACTGGCTTGTACACAGCGTGGGTATCTGTGCTTGGAGCTTCCTCAGCACATTGGCCTTACTGTAAGTGCCAAGCAAGTGCTGCTGGAATGTCCAACACTGAGTTTTTGAAACAGTTTGGGGTACTCTTCAGCAGCTTGGCGGTGGCTGCCTCTCAGGAACTGCAAACAAATGCAGGTAGTCCTTCTAGGTTATCCAGCTGGACAGAATTTCCACTCAGAGAAAAAGAAGCTCTGAGAATTACTACTTTTGTTAATATTTATTGCTCTATAACAATTGCTGATAATGCTTCTGGTAATGTGTATTTCTCTGCATAAATTGAGAACTCAATTTACCACCTGGATTGTGCCAGTGAATGCCGTGTTTCCAGCAACCTACACCCACCTAACTCCAAGTCTACCTATTCCTCTCTCCTACCCTGCGAAACCTCGTGCTTCAATCAGCAGAAACATTGTGCCTTTGAAATAGAAGTGGCTTTGAGCTTTTTGTTAGCTAAAGACTTCCTGCCAAGATTTTTGGAAATGGTGATTTGGACTATTTCATTAGAGATGCAGTTTTCAGGGTATGCTACATGCGAGTCCTAGTTTGGGACCCAGAAGCAGAAGATGACCATCAGGGCATGGCAGCACAAGGCTCAGCACATAGACTGTTCTTCCAAACAGCAGTCCACTGGAGTAAGGGGTCTAGTGATCCCTGCTGAAACTGCTGCTGCTGGCAGCGACTTCCCTCTATTTCCTTGCAGAGGTGCATTTTTATCACATTTTTCAACCAGATAATGCAGACATGTCCTCTAGCCTGTGGTACCTCCCAGGCCCTACAGAATCCCTCTGCTCTATGGTGGTTTCTCAGAAAATTTTGAGTAAGTGGCTCAGTGATTAAAATGTTGATAAACATTTTTTACAGGTGTGTTGCTTATCTGGGACTCAAGTCCAGGGCATTGCAGAACCTCTAGTTGTGCGAGGTTTAATGTCTTCTGGGATCTTTTCCCCAACACTGCAGCGTCACAGCAGTGAAACAAAAGCAGGGAGAAAATGTGTACAATAGCAGTGATTGTGCACACCCTTTGATCTTGTGCCATCATTTTCCAGAGTCTGGTTTAGTTTTTCTAGAAAGCTGGCCTGGAAAATCACCTTCTTTCCTGCTTTGAACATAAACTTACAGACGATTTAAGTGTTACATCCAGAAGTTGGGCAACAGAGTATCTCTCCCCTGGTGAGATGGTGTGATCTGTCCCATGGTGTGGCCATCCATGCAAACCAAGATAGATCTGTCTTATTGTGGAGATGCCAGGGCTTCTGAGCAGCGAGGGCTCCTCTAGTACTTGAATTGGTGGCCCTGACAGGCAATGGAAAGAGACTTTGACAAAATCGAGGACCTTGAGGTTTCCAGCTTGTCAGAAATTTCTTAGCCGCATCTGATCCCGTGTGATCCACGTACGTTAAGATTAAAGATGCACATCTATGTGGGATACACTCAGAGCATAATGGAGATAATAAATTTGGAATGCTCATCTAGGAGTGAGCTAGTTGTTAATGACAGTCACAAACTGTTCTTGTACCTTCTGTTTTTCGTTTAACTTCTAGGAGATCTTTGCAGCAGTCACGTTTTGTTGATTAGAAAAACAGGAGGTTTTGTACTTTCTTGGTGCTGGGTTTACACAGTGTGCAGGTCTCCTCCACCTCGCTGTGGCTGCTACACAAAGTAAATGACACCTTCAACTAATGCATTTTGAGATTTTTTTCCCCCAGAGAATATACCGGTGAGGTAAGATTTCTTTGAAACAGTATCAATACTTTTCTGAATCCCAAGAGGTAATTGGAACCAAGGTCCCATGACCATGAGATACCATTTTGTGACCAAAGACAATGCTGAATTTCCCAGAGGAAGGTGCAGATACCTCTCAGACTCTGGCTGCCAACAGCTGCGCCATGCTCAGGATGAAGATCACGTTTGCTTTCACGCTCACTGCTTAGCCATTGCCTTACACCCTGTGGCATGAGGACTGTTTCCAATTTGATAAGTTTTTTTATCTTGCTCTGAAAAATCTGAATGTCTGCATAGATACCCACTTTTCTGAGTCCTGCTGAGCTGTTATCTTTAATTTCTCATGCCATCAATAATTAATTTTCCTTGATATATAAGAAGCATTTCATGCAATTGAGAATAATTCTGAATAAAAGTGACTGGAAAGGAAAATATATATTAAAAAAAATAGGGCAATAATAGAGAAGTCTTTACTGAAGCTCAGTGAGATACCTGTCCCCTTCTCTCCTCTGTAAACAGGAACAATTCCTCACCAAAGTCAGATTTATCAAATTCATCCCCTTTGAATGAAGTACAAACGGCAGTAAAATTATATATGAAAAACTTGGCAAAAAAAGAGATGGGGCAATGGGTGGCTTTAAATGAATAGTGGTGAATGACAGAGAGTGCATAAAGCTGAAAGAAACCCTGAGAAATCTGTAATCAGAAACGCTAAAGACTATAAATACATTGGGGACGATTTCTGAGACAGCAGTTATCAGATTGTCAGTAAAGGTGCCCGATGGGCAGCAGTATTCAATGCATCCTTCAGCTCTGCGCTGGCAGCTGGTGTCACTTTTGCTGCAGGTAATGATGTGCTCCCTATACCAGTCAGTGATGGGGGTGGCATGGGGTACCTTCTGGAGAGGGTCCGAAGATGCTGCCGTAGTTGATGTCAAACACTGTTATAAAGATTTTTATTTTTCGAACAAATTTGGTCTTGAATTGGATTAAATAGACAAAAGTAGTTGCACATTTCGAAGGCTGTATAGACTTTCTGTCATTAAAAATATCTTGGTACAAAATCTTTGTAAATGGATTAAGTTGATTAGAAAGGAAATGACAGAACTCTATCTATAAAGTCTGAATTGTCCATCACATACCTGGAGGACTGGGCATGAACTGATGATTAAATGCTGGCTATTAAATACAACTCCTGTCTAAGGATGCGCCTGAAAACCTGTTTCCTTCCTGAGACATTGTCTGTGTCCCCAGCCAGCCCTCTGAAGCCTCAGTGGCCACAGACTGGTCTCAGCAGCTCTCCTGTGTGTTTTTTACTGTTTGATGATTTTTAAAAGAATTGATCAAAGCACAGCATTTCAGTGAGGCTGAGCCATCGATTTAGAAGATGGCACTGTAATACTGCCAGGGTTTTCTGTACTAATTCCTCATACAGCGGGCAATCCAAAGTTTTATTGGATTTTTAATTAGATTTTTTTTCCCCATACTTTGAGAAGAGAGACTTGATGGAACATTCAGTGGTACTTTGGCCTTTCCCAGATAATTAAAATCAAGCAGACACAGGAAGATCCTGCTTCCCCACTTCCAGCTTTTCAGGCGTAGGGGCAGTACTGCGGATGGCAAAGCGGAGCACTTTGGCAGCAGCCCTAACCTTTGCAGAGAAGCAAAGTTTTCCCCCTGCAGCAAGCAGTTAAAAGCTAAACTTTTGCCTCCAACCATTCCCATTAGTGACTGGACTTGGTTTGACACCCTGCTTTTAGGTAACCATTAATGCAGCTGTGCCAAGCACGCTTGCTCCAGCTGGCTCTATTTCACAGCCAGCAGGGAGAGAGATGCTCTGAAATCCTGACTGAAACAGGAGCCCAAAGTGATGTAAGAAGGGTCCAATGTTTTCTATGTAGCATGTGTCCTGGAGCACAAGGGGTTATATTCCCTCAAAACATCCGTTTGATATATTTATTTTCAAATTTTATTGCTTCCTTTTCACCTCCTTATTAAAGTAAATGGGTTATTGATGTGAGTGGCAGCTATCAACACCCCCTAGGTTTCATAGTTTTTTTCCTGAAATGAGCGCTCTGATGGGAAACTTTTCTTCTGATTTGTGATTTATAATTTTTGCTCCCTTTGCCTCATACTCATCATGCTTTGTATTTTTATGAGGCCAAGCACGTCACTTTCCACAGCCACGCTTATGTGTGGTGATTGTTTTGTAAGCTCTGAATTTTTGACCAAGATTTTAAGCCTGTCTCTTTATTTTTTCTCCAAGATTTTTTTTCTTTATATTCAGTAATATTTCTTTTGCACAGGCAAAGGAATCTGAACCCTTTTGTATAAAGTTCTTTATCATTATTACTTTTAGTAAGTTACTGACAAACAGCTCATTGCAGCAATATTTGTAACTTTGTTGTATCTTACATCCGGAGCAGAGGGAGGAACCTTAATGGTCCAAGTTCTCCATCCTGCACCACTGCAGAACAGCCAGAGATGCTGATCTGGGTTTTCTTCAAGAAACGTATGTTTGTCTGCCGGGTAGTTATCCCCTTAGGTGATTTTAGTGACTATCTTGCACTTTTCTCAGGGGTTTGTTGTCATCCTTGTTCTACTGTTATCATATAATGTATTAAATAAAAGGTTAGAATTTTTCCTACCTTAATATTCGGAAAAGTGAAGGATTGCAGACTTCTTTAGCTAAAACTCTTCTTTTCCTGCTGTTGAAGGGAGGAATGGGTGGTTTTGTTATTGCTGAAAGCCAGAAGACAAAGCAAACCCTCTGTCCACACAAACTGCTGGCACTGAAGTGAAGTTCCCTCGGAATAGTGTATGACATTGCATGACCACCACCGAAAAGAGCTTTCTCATGACAATGTTCCTTGGTACCTGGCCAAATCCTGGCCAGGTAACATGGGGGCAGCCAGCTGCTTCTGCTGTTGCTTGCTCTGAGCCGTGACATTTGCTGCATCCCAGCTCCTCTATGAGATGCTGTTCTCTCAGCCTTGTGCTTCCCTGGGAGCCGTGGTGTCTGGGGTGAAGGGAGCGCCCTGTCCATCTTGGAGTGGGGCACAGACAGCAGGGCACCTGTGGAGGCACAAAGTGCTGTGGAAAGGTGGTGTTGTGTCCATGCCGTGGTGCTGGCAGCCTTCCTGCTTCCCTCCCTCAGACTGTGCCTACAAAGCTGCTGCTCCTGTAGGTCCAAAACTGGGCTGGCAGAAGTCAGCTGCAGCTTGGGCACAGAGATATTGGACCAATGCTGTTGCTGTCTTTTGCAGTCACATCTTTAAGAAGAATCATGACTTGACCAAAGCTTGGAAAGGAAAGACAGAACAGCTTCTCAGAGTCGATGAACATGACTTCACCATGCGGCCAGCTTTTGGAGGTGAGAATAAAATGGTTCTCTTGTTTTCACGTTCATTTAATTAAAAATAATCTAATTATCTAATTAACAATCTCATTTAAAAAGAAACAAGGAAAACACCAAACCTCTGGCCAAGTGCACCAGTATGAAGGGAAGGGACCTGGTGCCAAATCAGAGAGGCCTCATGCTCATCTCATAGCCCTCTGTGCTCTATACAGTTCCTACATTCCTTCCCGTTGCTGCAGTTGACTTTTTTTGGCTGTAATTCCCCAGAGCTCAGGATGGACCCTGCCAGTAAGTGTTTCACTCTGCTGAGAAGAGGAACAAGCTGCAGGTTTTAGCATTCACTTTTAGTTGTGAAGTTTCAATGAGTTTTTCAGCTGATGTTATCAAATTGCAAAATAAAGAACTCATTAGGTGGATCGCATCCCATCCTTGCTAGGAGAAAATGGAGCACTTTCATCCAGATAAAATCTTGTCTCAAACTCTGTAAGACAACTAAAGGAGTGGAAGAGTCCTCTGTGTCCTTCACTTCTGCCTTCTGTCACACCCAGTTACAGGAATGCGCTTGGCTGACCTTGCTAGGCTCACCACTGTAGAGGTAAGAGAGTATCTGAATAAAAGTGTGCTGGAATACCAGTATGGAAAATGCTCTTCTGATTAGATCAATAACCAAGCCGCTTCAGAGCTAAGGACAGTTTTCTATAGTTTTCATTGAATGGCTAATACTGCATCCTTTGTCGATTGGCCATCTAGGGTGAAGTGCTACCTCTCCCTGTCCGGTGAGACACACAGGGGTTTTGCCTTTTGCACCTCATCTGTAGAATGGAGCTTCTTGGACCCTGGTGTGACTTGAAAGATGTTTCTCTCCCCACAGTGCAGACGTGCTGTTCTAAGAGCACAGTGCTGTCCCCATGCTCACAATGTATATGTATATATCTCCAGACTCCAGAGTTCAAATGTGTCATCACCAGTGATTCCTACCTCCCCCCCCCGTTATTTACTAGCAAGTTGCAGTCCAGCCTGACCACTGGAGGTAAAACTTCTTTTGCTAATCAACGTTAAACTTGATCTGCTATTTCTAGGGTTGAAGAATTTGCCTTAATTTGTGCTCTGGGTGGAGCATAGGCAGATCTCCTCGGACTGGTGTGAATACACCTGACAAGCCATGGAGTGCAGCTGAGGCTCAGGGCTGAGGTCTGGGAGCTATCTCTAGAGGCACTGGACATGAAACCTGCTCCTGCTCCTTTATGACTCGGCTGTAAAAATGGTGGTGAATGAGCTGCTCTCAGGTCCTCCACCTGCTTCAGATGGAGCAGGTGATACTCCAGTGATACTGCTGCACCAGCCTCTGGTTAGGGAAAGGGAGATAATTCCTGGCATTTCTTTTCCTGCCAGGCTGCTTCTTTGGGAAGGTGAGCCTTTCAGCAAAGTGGATTTGGGAAGGAACCTGGCTTCTGAAAAATGAAAAGACCAGGGAGACATGAGATTGGTTTCATGGACTCACCTAAATCCTCCTGGTTCCAGGATGAGATGGTCACTGTCAGGAATGTCCAACCAACCACTCTGTGGGCTTAACCCCCTGTTTGTTTGTTTATTGGTCTTTGTTTTCTTTACCTGACTTTCTAGGCTTCTTTTTTTTTAATCTTCTGTCCACAAAGCCTGGACCTGTGAGGTGTTAGCTGGATGTCCACTGCTTTCAGCCTGGCTTTCTTTTGTTGGCATGCTGCTCCTTCATGGATAGTGGTGATCCCACACAGCTTGCCTGGCATAGCAGCACTTCGTCACAGAAACACAGAATGGTTTGATTTGGAAGAGACCTTAAAGATCACCTAGTTCCAAACCCCCTGCCATGAGCAGGGACACTTTCTGCTAGACCAGGTTGCTCAAAGCTCCATGCAACCTGACCTTGAAGACTTCCAGCGGCGGTATTAACAATTCACTGATTTTGATCAACATTTCATTGATTTCTGTCACTAGTATGTTGTGTTCTGAAGGTGGATAGGCAGCTGTGTGATTTCGCACACATGAAGAGGGATTGCTGATTTGCTCTGCTTCAACTTCCCTAACAGACTGGACACTGAGAAGCAGACACTGTGTTCTGTTGAGTGAGTTCACTGAAGTGTATGTGCATCCCTAAATGTCAGGTATGCCCTGCCCTGCTATAAGCTCAGAGGCTGCGGTGTTAGGTTTTCAGATTTATTTTTTTTAAACCAACCTCAGTTTTTGGAGCTTGGCTGATGACTTCTGAGTGCCTAATGTGGACAAACTGGAAGACCGGAGCCTGCCAATCTGTCCTCTCTGCAGCTGTTACCACTCCGGACAAAAGACCTGCTGGCTCCTGAGTCTGAGAGGATGGGATGACAGGGCTTCTCTAGGAGGAGATTTGGACTCCTTCCCATGACTCAGTTGGAGATAGCTGTGGAGCCACACTGATTTTTAAAACTTTTTTCCCCTGTCTGGATATATGTCAGGGCATGATATCTGTGTTCTGTGGGAAAGCTATGGGGATTTATCCTGTTGTGCTGATGGTTTAGGTTTTGGTGCTCGGTGACACCACTGGACAAATCTGGAAACAAATCCAATTTTTACTATGTTCATCAGTATCACAGAGCCTGTGAGGAACACTTTTGTGCACATCACACCAAACATACATACATAATTACAGAGTCACTCTTCCTGTGCTAATACAACTACATTTTAATCTCCCTCTTGTCTTGTTTTCCCATGCTAACTCCCATCACAGCATAAGATACTTCTAGAGCCAGAAGTCTTCTACTAATATTTATAAAATTGAGAAATATCCTAACAGCCTTTACAGAGAAGGTACCTTTGTTTATAAAGGAAAAACATAGGGTTTTTTTTTTAATTTTTGCTTAAAACCTCCTTAATTTAGAGAGGTTCTTGGGATAAAGATGTGGGATTAGCAAAGTTGTGCTGAAGTTGCATGTGATAAGGAACAAAGCATGGAAACAGCTTCATTGAGGCTCCAGTCTTGGAAAGCATGGCTTACACAGAGATAGAGGGTGATACAAGTTCTTGCACCCCTGCAGAATTGTACAGTGTATTTTTAGTGACAGATGATAAGCCTGATGGGAAAAAACCTGGTAAGAGGCAATCCTCATACTTTCATCTGTAATGTTATTTGTCAGGCAGTCACAGTGATTTGCTATGCACTGTGAGTCCTTCCAGTTTTTTGCTGTGGCAATGTCAGTCAAACTGAGGTGGTCTGACCTGCATAGGATAAAAAGGCTTTTGTATTGTGGAAGCAGAGAAGAGGAGCCTCTGGGACAGCACGTGGCTGTAACCAGTCACTGCCCTAAGACCCTCTCTGAGAGCAGTTCAAGGACCGTGGTCTAATAGAGATTCCAACCTTGTGGCGTTGCATTGGGCTTGTGATGTTATGATGCAGGTGGGAAAGGTACTTCAATTCTGGAAAACATAAATAATATAATGAGGAGATTTTGAGTGGCATTAGACTAAAGAGAAACCCAGTATTGTAAATGTGATGGTTACCAGGTTTGGTGGACAATTTACAACTTCACTATTGGACTTTAAACTAAAAAGGGGCTGGGGTGTGAGCTGTTCAATGATGGCCATGGTGACTCTTGCTGGTCTGCAGAGGACAGTCAGCAAGCTGCCAGCTCAACACAGCTGACCACTGGGCAGAGCAGGCTAGGGTTATGCAAGATGAAATGAAAAAAAACCCCCAACATTAGAGAAAGGTGAAAGGTTTTCTAAGAAGAAGTACCTTTGTAAAGAGCAAGTGAGTAAACAAATGTTGCGTAAGTTGTGTTATTAACAGCCCAATAAGCATGGTTGTCTTGCCTGCTCCCAGCCCATTAGAGACAGGCGACTGGGTACAGAGGCAATGACAAAGTTTTTTGCTTTGTTGATGGTCAAAGAGACTCCATAAGCTAAAAGAGACTGCAGGGGTTTTGACCCTTCGGGAGTTATCTCCATGTCAGTGACCTTGTTCTAGCTAGCAGATGTTCAGGTATTATTTACTATTATTAATTTTTAAAGATTATGTAAATGTTTGTTTTACTGCCTTCCTTAAACACCCATTTTAAGCATTTCATCTATGACATCTCATATTTTACAGGGAGCCCATGAATAAGCAGCTTTAGTTGATACTTAAAATAGCTGTATCTTCTTTATCGAGGGCTAGCCTAATGCTTTACTTTTATTATATTTGCTCGTAGCTTAGTAGCCTAACTTCAGCTGGTCCTTGCTTCCCTTTCTGGGCAGTATTTTTGCCACGATGGATGAATAGTGGGGTGAATAAGGCACAAGTAGTTCACTTAGAGTTACTGTCAAGGGCCAGAATAAAACTTGCTTCACTGCTAATGAACAACTGTCAGTGAGATGCAGAGGAACGAAGCTCTCTGCTGTCATGAGGCAGGTGATGAACTGGTCATGGCTGCCTGGAAGCTGCCCACATCTAAGAGGACCCATTCATACACATATTCATTAAAAAGTAAATATGTATGTATATGAACACACACACACATGAAGATACACTGAAAACTGTCTTGCAGCTTGCAGGCATGGGATCTTTTATGGATGTTTGCAGCCCCCCTGGGTGTGCACGAGACATCTGTCAGTAAAGAAGTCTCAAACCTACTAATTTCCCATGTAGATATTTTTATCTCAGGGCCTACATGTGCCTCACTCCTCCAAAGATACATGAGCGAACAAAGATACTGTCTCAGAAGGAAACAATGAGCCTTTGAAAGCACTGCCAAAGAGAAAAAATAAAGAAATGTCACAAAGCTTTAGTCTCAGAGCTGGGTGGAAAACTGACTCCAGGCATCTTCATGGTAGCACGCTCTTCCCTATCTTCCAAAACCTGCTCCAGTGTTCAGAAATAAAAAAACGTGTTTGTGCCCAGTTCTGACTGGGAAGTGACTCACCCTTTGAAGATTTCACGCTACTCCTTGGTGAGTGTTTTTAGGTGCAGAGACTGGGGTGCAACAAACTTTAGTGTTGGGCATCTTCTGAAGTCATTCCTGAACAGG